AAATACCTATAAGGAATCCGAATAACAATAATAACAGATTTCTGGTATTATAAACACTCTAGACAGTTGTTACGAACACGTTACGAATTAGAATAAAGTAAGCAGAAACATAAGTTGCAGACGCTGAAGTCAGTTGAACTTGTTGATTCATATTGTCAGTGGAAAATGTTTTGATTGACTGCCTGAAATCACGAAATAATTTGTTAAACATTATAATAAATAAATATAATAAATAAATATAATAAATAAATATAATAAATAATGTTATAACAAAATAATCTGTAACCTTACAAATGAACAAAATGCTTACAAAATTGCATATTACCTTTACAAAACTTTCGGGAAAATATTTTCCTTTGTTAAAATAATTTTTCTACAAAAAATATTAATTTTACCAAACTACAAATACTCAAAACTCATGTTAACAAATCTGATTTTTATAACAGTGTTCTTATTTTAAAATATTCTCTATACACAATGATATCTATTGTAAAAATATAACAATATCATTACCTAATTTGTTTTATTAGGTATTTATCAAGTGGAAAAGTAGGACACCCAAGATTTTTATCCAAAAAGGACCCATTGAGAATTTTACGATTTAAAATATGTTTATGTTTGGGTCCCATGCATCCTAGATGTCATCAAAACAGTAAAACCCTAACGAATCTATTCAGAATACGACACTGTTTAGATAGTGGACTTTATTTAGAAATAACAGTCTTTAACGCAAACGTTTATATCGAAAGATTGTAACCCCCATTAAAAGAGGAAGACCCGTGACAGTTAACTGCTCGTTAAGAGCAAACGTATAAAACATTTATTCATTTTGATCGTTAACTGTCAATGTTTTGGTTAACGACTAATAAAATCTTCAGTGATTAACTATATTTGTTTTATTGAAAATGCATATTGTTGGGTGGAAGAATAAAAAATGTGCAGGGTCGTATTAACAATATAAAAAGTAATTATACCATCAATTCAGGGGTCCAATGCATAAACCAGGTATCTCTAAAACTCCAAAAGAATGCTCTAGGATAAACCGCCACTCTTGGTATAATTTACACTTAATTGTAATATAGGTTTTTGACACCACTTTGGGTATTAAAGCTTTAACAATTGACAACAATTTCTTCCGAAAAATCAATACTTTCCTGGATCATAAGGAATGCCATTAACTGAAAAGTAATGATTTAGTTTATACACAGTAAAAAAAATCAACTCTAGCAACACTAATTAGAGTTCCCACAGGTCCCTTAAAACGTAAAAGTTTTAGTTAGATCAATGCAATGTTTTACTGGCTGTCAACTTGTAAGCAATGAATTATCTTGAGAATTCATCAGTAATCCATTTTTCTGTTATAAAAATGGGTTATCCCATTGGTAGAGAGGATTTAGGCGGCTGTATGTCGGGGATTTACCACACGTTTACAAATTTTCCATAATATTAATAAAAATGTGGGTATAGGTTAATATAACAACCAATACGCTTGAAAATAAAAAGTAAATCAAGTGTGTATGCATTTATTTTATTAATGCTACAAGTACCCGACCTACTGCCGTAAATTATTTATATATAATATAGGTCGGGTATGGACATCCTTTTAACATATTGGTATTTATTGAGTATTAAGGCTTAAATAAAAAGGAAGTAATACTACCAAAAAATAAGAATGTCCTCTTATGGATTCACCGTAATTAAAATTTAACTGAACAAACATGCCACACTTCCACAACGCGGTATCTCCGGATATGCACTGCGTAGGTAAATAGGTACCAATCAAACATTTTAAAACGTATTTCGGTTATTACCAGTTTTTAGTCTATTTTGTCACTATTTGTGTAATTTATCTTTAATTGTGATACAATGTGCACTAAAAGGTTAAGAAAAAAGAGCTCTTAGTAACATCAAAACAGACAAAGAAATTGGCATGCACTGTAGTGTACATTTTGTCACTATTTAACACATTAAGGGGTAATAAACACTCGCATTAAGTTTTTCTACCCTTTTGATTTATTTTAATAATAAATAGGGTGAATGTACCCATGAATAATGTTCATATTCTTAAAATGTGTTTAATAAAGTTAATAAGCACTAAATGCTACCTAGAGTATTTTGTAGTGTAACTTTTACACTTACAAATCAACTCTAATATTTTTACCCCTACACTAAAACATTTGCACGGGCAAATTTTTTTACTGTGTAGTTAACGATGGAAAGTAATAATGGTTTTGTTTAGTTTCTGTTATTGGTAATAAAAGAAATGTCATGATGCCAACTTAACTTAGGTACGAAGGAAAGAGTCAGGTACTAATTCCACAGATAACAATTTGGTTTGTAAAATTTTCCTCCACAGTGTTCACAAAAAAAGTGAAAACGCCATTGCTTTCTTCGGATTTTTCAAGAACTATAAACCACAAATTCTCTTATAATAATGTGGAAAAAGTCCTTACTGTTGAGTGATAGATACACTGTTAAAAAAATCAGTTTATAGTTTGTTACTTTTATTTTATAAAATTTTAACTTAATTCTTTGCATAAAACCAGAAATTGTAAATATTTTAACAGCGATAAACCATTGATTAAGGTGTGTACTTCTTCACTCAACGGATACACATTTTACCAAAAGTTTTGTAAAGGTATTATTCAATTTTGTAAGCGATTTGTTAATTTTCATAAGTTACAGATTATTTTATTAATGATTAACAAATTATTTCGTTCAAAAAGTACACGTGATTTCAGGCAGCGAAATAAACATTTCCCACTGATTTTTTTATCGCCAACCATCCAGCTTCAGTACAACAATAAGTATCAACAAGTTGAACTGATTTTAGCGTCTGAAACTTATTCTTCTGCTTACTTTATTCTTCTGATTCATAACGTGTTCGTAACAACTGGAGTGTTTATATTATATTACTGAAGTGTTTAAAATATATTACCAGAAATATATTAATATTATTATTCGGACTCCCTATACCTATTAATGAGTGTGTGAATTTCAATCTAAAATTTTGGGATAGTTACAAATGGTAATACATAACTCACGAAACACACAAACACGGTTTGCTACGTCACATTCGAGGTTCGACACTAGTTAAACTTTGTTTAATGATATTGTTATGTTTAGAAATGTTATTATTACTTTATGAGTAGATAGAATATTGTGTAAATTATTATTATTATTCCAGATGTCTATGGTAGAAAAGTATTCTTTTAATTAAAAAATACATTTTTTAACTGATACAATGTTTATCATTAGCACTTCTATTTCCTCAGCAATAAAAACAAAACCTTATTACAGACAACCATTTTAATGACTATAGTTATTGCTATAATTAATTGTTATTGGCGTCTAAATAATGGATATTAAAACATTAAAATTTAATAATAAACATTTTCTTCGCAAGGTATTGTCAATATCAAGTAGCGCGGTCTTTAGACGATGAAGGAGATTTAGCTTTGAAATAATTATGATTAAACAATAAAAAAATGACTTTTTTCCATCAATAAACCTCCATAAAAATTTTGCGACTCGATAGTTTTTGCATCAGCTGGAATAAAAAGACACTGCATAATAAGTTTACCCTTAACACACTGTATCTCGTAAATGAGCAATATTTTATATTGCATGCTACTAAAACGCCCTTTTTAATGACAATTAATAAAACAAAACGTGTGATTAAAACATTTACCACAATATACAACTATTAAATTATTTTATGACCCAATATTTTTAAGCAATAAATTTTATGAGTATTTATTGTTTTAGTAATTATTATTTGGTGCAAAGTAAACTGTTGCTCGCCACTTCATAAAACTGATTGTATACAAACTGTTAATATTTAATATTTCTTAAATACCTATTTGAATTAAATTTCACCTGTAAACAAAAATGTTACCAAACCTTATTTTGACAGATTCTCGGTTGTTACTGCATGACAAAAGTTGGCCATGGAACCAACACAAAAAACATACGTACCACAGCAGGGTGCGTACGATAAAAAACAAAAAATCGTATTAAATACGACTGCTTTTGTAGCTGAAGTTACTGTGGATAATTTGGGGTAAAATAATGGAGTTGATAATGGGTAGAGTTTAGAATAATGTTCTACACAGTTTTTTACTTTTATATTGTTAAATAACTATCGCATACCAAGAGAAAACCTTCTTCCCGAAGATGGTGTTTTTGTTACACCCATAAAAGTCCCTAAAACACCATGGGTTTTCATTGGGTCTTCTCTTAGCTGGCAGAGTGCTTAGCTATAGCTTAAGCTATATTTCTTTAATCAAAATAGCCTATAGGTATGTTTATAAAACAATGTTATTATTAGACTAATTCTTTATTTATTACTGTTTCCATTAACCTTTTTTATTAAAGAATAGTTGACGAGACATCGTTAGATAAATATCTATTTTTTAACAGTAAAACATTTATCTATGTATACTTATATGTATATATAATTTTATCACTTAAAATTATAGTCATTTTCATAAACAAGCCGTAAAAACAAGCTACTTGGAACTGATAAGTGTTTAACTTCGATAAATATCCCATGTTAACCGAAACACATGTTAAACTTTTCGACTTGTAAATTGCCCTTTATTTCTCGAGCCATAAACGCCACATAATTTACCATAAAAAATTTACAATACAGCCCAGCTTTTTATTATGTATTCATAAATAAACAATAAGGGACCGTAATAAATCTAAACTCAACAAACCATATTTATTTTAACCCGAAAATGTATACATCCTATCCTATAAACTCATTAAAATCAATTTGCCAACGATATGTCAAGAAGGCGCCAAACGAAATTAACCACAAATCGAAACGGGAGCACTCTTCGATCCGCCTGTGCGACTTAAGTCGCTTGCGACCAATCCGACGTCGGGATTTCACGCACGCCACGCCCATCATCTTACTGAGCAGCATCCTGCTTCGATCGCCTATTAACTTGAGATTAGTGTCCAATTAGCGCTCATTAGTGCAATATCTGATGCTCGGTTCTTGAGTTTTTTAAGTGTGTGTTTGATGTTTTTTTGTGTTTTTGTGCTTCTTGTGTTATTATCTTTCGCTGAGGATTAACCGTTGAGGGATGTTTTTAAAAAGGTAAGGTTGTTTTAGAATTTTAATTAAAATGGAATTTTAATGAATTTTTACTACTTTTTTGCCATTCCAGTCCACCGAACACAAAAAAGTTGAAAACAGTTTCTTTTAATCCTAACTAGGAGTTCAGACTTGAAATTTTAACTCTAGTTTCTATAAATTGTGGAAGTAAAAAAAACAATAGTGAAACTTAGATTAGATTAGATTAAAAATCGGGTGGCTAAAAGGGCTACTGTAGCTCATGTCATGCTTATATCACTGTATATCACTGTATCACTGTAAGCTTTTATAGCTTAAAAAGTGGTTTTCTCCTGTGGTCACCTGGTGTTGGTTTTTGACTTCTCATTTGCCCACACATGTGGTCTTGTCTGCCAGTCCTGGACAATAATATTATGTGCTTGCTACAGTTGTCTGAGAACATACCCAATATAACCATCCCAACTTTCTTGTGGCCCAGATTAAGAAGGTTTTTAGTTAATTTGTTATGAATTCTTTGGTAGATTAAAAAAACCGTACCAAACACAAACAAATATGTATTAGAAATCTCCCCCAACACCAAAACAAAAGTGCTTAAAGTACTTTTCAGAGCCGAAGTGTAACTCAGTTACACTTCGCTTCTGAAGATGCCAAGATGAGGAATATTTTTAATATTTGTTTAACATATTACCAAAGTTGTCCTTTTTAATTACTTACACTTCGCTTCTGAAGATGCCAAGATGAGGAAGATTTCTAATATTTGTTTAACATATCACCAAAGTTGCCTTTTTCAAGTACTTGTACCTACTTACTAAACACAAATTACTTGAAGAACTGTTTTCAAACATAGTTTGGATATTCTTACTGGCCTTTAGTCAAGAGCAAACAAAAAGAAACAAATTTTGCAAAAAGTTGTTCACCATGTGTTGATTTAATTTAATTTTAATTATTATTTAGTTTAAATAAAAACTAATAATTTAGGTATAAGAAAATTTTACTATAAAAATAAAAATTGTTTTGCCCCAAAATCAAAATATAATGTTTCATTCCTTAGGGTGTTTTGTAGAAACTTCTGTTAAATATATTGAAATGTTTTTTTTAGAAAAACAACATAAGCATCCTCTTTTAACAAAAGTATGAACTTAAGTCAAATGCCGGAAACTGCAAGAACAGCCATTCATTTGTCGAAACCGGAAATGGAATCTCCCAAACTGAAATTCGGAATAGATCGTCTATTGTCCAATACCACTGACTCGTCGACAAGAGACCAATGCAAATCGGAAAGACCCCATTTCATAGCCAACATGATCGAGACGAACGTCACCAAGCCGCTACCGACTTTGACTGTACCTTGTTCGGATTGTGTCAGCTCTATCTTCAGGTAATGCTGTAAGATTTTATTCTTTTTGGGTATAACAGAAGCCAGAGTATATTTTTAAAAGGTTTTTGAAATGCTGAAACCGATTTCAAACTCAGTATTGCTCCAATAAATTCGGGTAACGAGTTTTAGAATTTCTCAATACTGAGTGAACTGCTTTCAATCATATAATGTTGGATGGCGTTTTTTGTAGATGCTGCAAATTGAGCCCAAATCGTCAGTTAGAAGGTATGGAAAATTTAAATTCTCAAGCGCAAGATCATTTACCAGGGTACATGGGAAGTCACAATTTTAGAAATACAACCGGAAGTTATAGTATGCAACCCATCAGGCCTTTTGCCACCAGACCAAGTAAGTAATATTTTTGTAATTATAATATACAAATTGCAAAGTTATAATTTTTAAAAGCCATCTTAATAGGCTTGTAATTACGCAACTTCTTTTTTGTTATTTAAGAGACCTGGTAGCTCCTCAAATAAAAAATATATACATAGAAAGAATACTTGGTGTATACAGGGTGTCCCATAATTAACGTGCAATACAAAAATAAGAAAAAAACACACCTAAACATAAGCCTCTAAAATTGATTTTTATTTAAAATCTTCAATACCGTTAAAGATAGAAACGTGAAATTTAGAGTATTGATTAAACTTTTTATGGAAAATAATAAAAATTTTAAATTTTCCATAAGGGATGGGTCAGATAGATAGGGAGTAAGGGTAAAACTACCCTAACTTTTTTGTTCGTGTATAGGATTTGATGTAAAAAAGGCCTTTTTTTAATTTCGATAATATTTATCATTTTCGCTTAAAATCGATTTGAAAAATACCTTACATGGCATAAAAATTCATAATGAAATCACTAGAGAAAAATATTCAGCTTTGGCCATGGAACACGGCTTTCATGTTTAGAAAAAGTTATTCAAGACTGGTATCCCTGTAACAGGGAGTTTCATCAATTCTCAAAATTTCATTTTTCTATCTTGAACGTTTTTGGATATATTAAAAAAACCATTATCAGGGTCTTCTCAATTGGGGTCTGTAGCTCCCTTAGGGCCGGTTTTTCAATCATAGTTTAAACTTGGTCCAGCATTTGAACTTGGTTCAAACAAAATAAGTATACCGTTTTTCAATCAAAGTTCAAGCTTGAGTTTGGTTTAAACTAAATCAAAAGATGAACTGTCACTGTTGGCCGTTTAAACGAAGTTCAACTTGACATAACTTAATTTTTCTCTGCTTTATTGTGTATTATGTTGTTTATTTCTTGTTTTGTAATCTGCTGTTATAATAAACCAATGGATATGTTTGAGGTAGTTAGTGAGGATGATGAGGAAACTGGCGAATTCCTAAATAATATTCAACTTCGTGTGCACAGGCCTCGGGTAAGACCGAATCATTTTGAAAGGTGGATTAATGATGAATTTTTTGCCAGATTTCGGTTTTCCAAACCTTTTGTACGAAGGATAGTGGATTTAATTAGACCAGTTATTGCAAATCCGACCAATAGGTTAGTTATAAAAATAATTACTGAATAGGTAATAGATTTTAGTAAAATTCATCACATGTAACAAAAAACGACAAATTCATTTTAAAATATAAAACGAAATACATACAAATAATTTCTCCTTAAAAGAGGTAAAGTTGGCAGCACGATTTTTATTCATAATAAATAATAATTATTGTTCTTTAACAATAGTAAATTGTTTTAAAGTACCCTTTCGCACAGATTATAACTTTTTAAAACAGCACAGATAAACAAAACTCCAAAAGTAAACACAAAATCCTTTTGTCAAAATGACAGTTTTAACTACTATTAATGTAGGCGTATACTAAATTCGGTTGTACCAACTTAACGTTGACACCGCTGATCTAAGTTCAACAGAACTGCTGTTGAGTCGACATTGAAAAACTCATTTGACTGTGAACTGAGTTCATTAACTGATCTAAGTTCCCCTGAACCAAGGTTTAAACCCTAATTGAAAAACCGGCCCTTAGGATGCATTTATTGACCTATGTAAACGTCAAAAATAACTAATACTAATAGATTTCACAGCCACACAAAAAAAACAAAAGTACCCGGATCTACATAGGTTTTTTATGTATTTGGACGCGCTGAATCCGAATCCGATGTCAAAATTCGCCCTGCACGTCTGAGTTTCAACCTAACCTCAAAACTGAAAAAAATTGTTTTTTTCTGTTCTAGGGTTGAGGCATATTAATAGTTATGTTTTTCAACGTGCCAAATCCAAATTTGTTGTCAAAAATAATCTCACACGTCGTCCTTAAACCTTAACCTGGGACTCTTTATTTCAGAGTTTACGATTTTTCTTGAGTTGTTTTGGAATCTACATCGTTCTTTTTTCTTCGAAATATTTCTGAAACGGGTTACGCCTTTAAAAATTGGGGTTTTTAATGAATTTGAAATTACACTTTCTTAATTCACACCTTGATATAGGTTCCCCGCAAATGTTGGAGACTACAGTAAAGAACAAGGATAACGGTTCCATTAAGATATCAAAATAATGAAACAACGATATCAGGGTAGATGGGATGAAGTCATGATGGCCGATTTTTGCTGGATGCTGAAAAAAAAATGGGTGGTCGAGGCAAAAAAAGAAGGCGTAAGCCTTTAAACAGATCTTTCGAAGAAAAAAGAACACGGTTTAGTGCAAAAGAATAAGGCTGGAAAATATTAGTGATTTTGACATTATGTCGATGTAGATTCCAAATCAACTTAATAAAAATCGTGAACTCTGAAATGAAGAGTCCCAGGTTAAGGTTAAAGGACAACTGGTGAGATTATTTTTGGCTCTAAATTTTGATTTGGATAAAACATAACTATTGATATGCCTCAAACCTAGAACAGAGAAAACAATTTTTTTTTAGTTTTTTGGGTTAGGTTAGGTTGAAACTTAGACGTGCAGGGCGAATTTTGACATCGGATTCGGATTCAGCGCGTCAAAATAAATCGACATAAATATATTATTAAACTATACATGATTGGATAGTAGTTTCAGGGAAACTCTTTACGACACAGACAAGCTCTTTTTTCTGTTAGACACGTACAATCAGCACATTAAATCCTTAAAAGGATTTACATAAATGTATGCTGAAATGCAAAAGATAATGGTTAAGAACATTCTAAAGTTACCATCGATAAAATTGTCCAGATTTTTTTCAGATTTCGTGTAGATAATGTATAAGCCAGGGTAACCACAAATCCTAATTTTAAAGCTTTACGATAACTAATTTCCGATAAATTAATTATAATAATTTTAAAATTTTTTGCAAGATGCGTCTTTTTTTAAATAATTTCTCACCTGTAGAGACAAGTAAAAGATGACTGGTGACAGATGTCAAAAATAATAGGTGACAGATGTAAAAATTAAGCTGTCATGGTAGGTGTCAAAAATAATAAATGTAAATAATGAAAGCTCACTTTGTTTCGTTTTTTCGTTACATAGGACTCATTTTTACCATCTGTTATAGCTACCTGTCATTTTTTTGCATTCAAAAATTCAACTCACACACCCTTGTCTTTAAGACAACAGAAATGTATTCAAGATTTCCAATTTTTAAATGTTACTAATATATTCATAACGTAAATGTTTTCTTTCATAAATTTGCTAAAAAAACGATTTTTTTAAACACCCCTGTATACATTTTATTAAATGGCAATTAACTTTAAGTGATATTAAATAAAAATACTCGGTATTATTCTAGGAAAACGCATAATAATTTTATCGATAAGAAATAATAAAATGTTAATGTCAATGTAAAAGTTCAATTATTGATAATAATACAGCACGCCACAACACAAAACGGCCAAACAAGTTTTATTGAAGACTTTTTTTAGGTAGGTACAACAAACGATAATGTCCGTCGTAAAATAAATTTATTCCGCGGGACATTGTGATTTTATGGCTATAAACTTTGTTAACGAAATTAACACAATAATAAAAACTCATAATAAATAATAAAACTACAAACAACGTCAATTATTTACTATTTAATAAGTTATATGTATCTTCTGAAAAGCTCGTAAAAATCAAAATGTGATACTTAAAGTTGAACCTGCACAATGCGACCATCCATCCAACAACAAAAACAGTTTTAATTATAATTATGAATGCAGTAATAAATAAAACACAATAATACTTATTGGTATATATATTAATTATAATGTAGTGTTTTGTTAACTTTTAAATACATTGTTTAAAATATATACGAGGTGTGTTCAGAAAATATCGGAAATTTTCGTTTTTTGAAACAAATATTTATTTATTCGTCTACATTAATGTTGTCGCCTTCAAAATAGTCCCCATTGGATATTATGCACATGTGCCAGCTCTTCTTCCAATACTCGAAACACTTCTAAAACTCGATCTTTGGGATAGCCTTTAGTTCTTTCAGCGATGCGCTTTTAATGTCTGTCTATGCTTGCAAAACGAAGGTTCTCTTTATATTTGGGAATAGGAAAAAGTCTGCCAGAGGCATGTCTGGCGAATATGGAGGCTGGGGCTTTATTACAGTATTGTTTTTGGCCAAAAATTTTGTTCAAAATATAACAATTTTAGAACAAATTTTGCTGCCACGCGTTTCATACCCAAAACATTCGAAAAAATTTCATGGGATGAGCCAATGGATATACCAACATCATCAGCGACTTCTCTGATAGTTTATAACCATTTCTTCCACTTTTTCCATGTTTTTATCGGTTGTTAATGTGCTTGTGCGTTCGGGGCGTTCGTCATCTTCATCGTCTTCACGGCCATCTTGGAAACTCTTATACCACTTGTAAACTCTTGTTTTACTTATAGCAGACTCACTATAGGCCTTTGTTAACATTTCACAAAATTTATTTAATTTTTTAAGCAAAATTGGATACAAATTCTTTGATCCATTTCTTTTAACGAACGAAAAATCGCCGAGCTCATAAAACACGTCTAACCTTAGCGGCTGCCACAGACAAAATAAACAATGAAAACAGCTAAAGTTTTTATCATACTTCTGGGGCATGTAATACCAACATAATAAAGAAAATTTTATGACCACTGGAACCTCCGAACCCGCGAAATCTAACAATTTCCGATATTTTCTGAACACACCTCGTATATTATTGTTTGTTTACCAATAAGCGACTCTGGTTCGAGGAAAAAATGCAAATAGTTTAATTTTAACAAAATTTTTGTTTTTATAGTGTTATAGTTAATTAAGTTGTTTTTGTAATACAATTTAATTTAAATATATTTTATATAAAAAACAATTATGGCGGAAGGAATTAACCCTCTTATAATGTTCATCGTAATTTTATATACCTAACCTAAAGTATTAGTTAAGTTTTATAGCAGT